CACACACTGCATTCATTACACTAACACACACACTGCATTCATTACACTAACACACACTCTGCTTCCACTACACTGACACACACTCTGCATCCACTCCACTGACACACACTCTGCATTCACTACACTGACACACACTCTGCATTAACTGTACACACAGCATCCACTACATCCACTACACAAACATCCTGTATTCACAGGGCAGGCCGGGGGGGTGGGGGGGGAAGGGGGTGGAGTTGGGGGCCCAGAGCTTTGTCAGGGGCCCCAAAATTTCTGGTGGCGGCCCCAGTAAGTTCCATCTGCACGTGAGATACAACAGCCCCAGAATATTGTTTAAGCCCTCTTTGGGCCTTGTCAGTGAGATGAAGCACAGTAAGCACATGATCCATATTACTAGGCTAATTCGACTGGGCATGTTCACCAGCATGAAATTAAACCCATTCTGTGCCATAGTAAAGAGAAGTGCAATGTACTGATCTCATCTGTGGTACTAAAAGAGCAAAATAAGACATTTATAGAGTCTGTGAAACCTTGTCATGAACTCTTAAGGAGTTGAGAGACTTTCTCTCCTGGTAAATTCATGATGGGTGAAGTGAACCCCAATAATTACAAGGGAAGTCTTAAAACACTGGGCAATGGGGCTTGATGATCCACTCATTGACCATTCATTAGTTACAAATATACACCTGTTCATTAATGCAAATAACAAATCAGTCAGTCATGTTGAGGCAACTCAATGCACAAAAGCACGCAATCATAGAATTCTCAAGAATGGTAAATATATATGATCTACGTGCTCATTATCATGGAATAATTGTTGCTGTCAGAGTTAGTGGTTTATTTATAAGAACTGGGAGACCATGATATTATTCTCTGTGTGATATAAGGTTATCCTAAAGACCCCAATATACACTTTTGTGTATTTTTATATGTCCAATTTGAATTGTAGTATTTACTCGATTAAGTTAGTAATAGTTAGTCATCTAAATCTATATTTACATAAAAAGTGACTTCTTGATACAAGCCATGGCCTCATCCTGATTGCATAGGACTGATATTTGTAATGCAAAGTGTAGTTTCCAGATTGTCGAATTGGCTTGGCAGGGAGCTATGAAGCTACTGAAAGTTCTTTTTTTTTTATCAAACCACTGTAAAAAAAAGTTTGAGAAAAAACAGGAGATGGCGTCTATACAGTTTTGATAGGATAACCACATAAAGCTGTATTGCTTAGAGAGTCAACCAATCCTTACATTTGTGTTAACTTTGTTGATTTCTCTAATAGGATATTTCAGAAATGTCATACATGTCTATATATCGAGATCAAATGTCATAAACCTGCAATCAAAACATATATTTATATATTTAATGATCAATATTTTAAGTACAGATTGAAAATCCATTAAAAATTTACAGGCTGTGATACAATAAACATCAATGCGGCCATCAGCAACAACTTTGTACAGAGGTCGATTGTGTATATATATATATATATATTTTGTGAACCGATAGACAAAAGCATTAAAATTTAAAAAAAATATGTATTTGTAGTTATAGCAGGGGGGAAGCAGGCACTGGTCACATGAGTCATGAACATGCATGCAAAAAGAGAAGTAATGGTGGAATTGCAATTGTCGTGGTCTATTTTACCTACTTGTTTGGGAGTGTTTTTAAACTGCATTGTTTATACTTTTAAGTTATATTTTTTCAGTGGTTTCCAGTACTAGGACAAACCGTGTTAAACCTTGGCATTTAATTTTTTATTAATATTTTATTTTTAATGATCAGAAATAAATATTCAATACCTGATACCAATCCTGAGTCCTGACACACTTGTTCCTGGCATAGAGGAAACAGGACAGGGCAGAGGTATTAAGGGCTAGTCCCCCCAGGAATTTGGGGGAGGTACACAGAGGTACTGTAACCATATCCATCTCCTGAGTGCATTTCAAGCAGCACGGTTTATGTTCCTTAATTATATTACACTATATATTTTTTTCCTGTAGATCTACACCTGTATCCATATTACATATGATGTTTATTGGCTGAAAAATAAAACATTGTCAGCTCATGTTGAGTCAGCTAATATACTTTTTTTGCATAAGAAAAATATCTGAAAAAGACATGCCCTAATATACAGGTGATACTCGAAAAAATAGAATATTGTGCAAAAGTTCATTTATTTCAGTAATGGAACGTAAAAGGGGAAACTAATATATGAGATAGACGCATTACATGCAAAGCAAGATAGTTCAAGCCGTGATTTGTCATAAGTGCCATGACAGCTCATGAAAACCCCAAATCTCAGTAAATTAGAATATTACATGCAATCAATAAAGCAAGGAGTGTACATAGAACAATATCGGACCTCTGCAAAGTATAAGCATGCATATTGACTCAGTGCTTTGTTTGGGCCCCTTTTGCAGCAATTACTGCCTCAATGCGGCGTGGCATGGAAGCTATCAGCCTGTGGCACTGCTGAGGTGCTGTGGAAGACCAGGATGCTTCAATAGCGGCCTTCAGCTCTTCTGTATTGTTCGGTCTAATGTCTCTCACCTTATTCTTGGAAATGCCCCATAGATTCTCTATAGGGTTCAGGTCAGGCGAGTTTGCTTGCCAATTAAGCACAGTAATCCCACGGTCATTAAACCAGGCTTTGGTGCTTTTGGCAGTGTGGGCAGGTGCCAAGTCCTGCTGGAAAATGAAGTTAGCATCCCCATAAAGCTCGTCTGCGGAAGGAAGCATGAAGTGCTCCAAAATATCCTGGTAGATGGCTGCGTTGACCCTGGACTTAATGAAGCACAGTGGACCAACACCAGCAGATGACATGGCTCCCCAAATCAACACAGACTGTGGAAACTTCACACTGGACTTCAAGCATCTTGCACTGCTGATTGACCTAGAATGGTCCACTGATGTTCCCCATTCATAAGAAAATGTATGTTGGTTTTGTTGGAGATAAGTTAAACTGTCTATAGTCTTGATAGGAGGCAGGACCAGAGGTCCAGGTCTGTTGTTCTATGAAAGACTCTAGAAAGGAGAGTTCTAATTTCCATCCAAAAAAGAGTTAACTTGAGAGAGGCCCCACCACATGTGCCAGTATATCCCGCTATATCACAGGAATGCCCTCACACCTCTGTAACAGTTTCCCATGCTAAAAAGCTTTACTAGGGTTATATGCACACCTTTTTTAATTTGTGTCACATCATGCTTAATTTCAGTTTTATGACACATTCTTCAGCAGGCACATTGTATCAGTCACATTCTTAACCTAATATCATTTGCTTACATGAGTCACAAGACTGTAAAAAAGGGAAAGTCTAAATTTGAATGATACTTTGATTGTATCAGACACATGTTGCTTAATCATCAAATGATCACAGAATAGACATGTATCAGAAATATCTATTTGTATATATATTTACCAGGTACCATTGGCGTACACACGACCCATGGGGCCCCGGTGCGAAAATTGATCCGTGTCCCCCCCTGCCCCGCGCTTACTCTGCGCGGGCCGGAACACATGGCGGCGGGAACCTAGCCAGTGCATGCAGATACACACACACTTTAAGGACCACTACAGACACTCAGATCACATCAGCTCAATGAAGTGGTCTGGGTGCCAGGTCCCTGCTATGTTTCACTGAGGGTTAATCCAGGCTCTAGTGGCTGTCTCACTGACAGCCGCTAGAGGCGCTTCCACGATTTTCACTGTGAAAATCACAGTGAGAAGACACTGGACGTCCATAGGAAAGCATTGAGTAATGGGCGGTTTAAATGTGAGTGCGGCTCTTGCCGCGCATGCGCATTAGGAGCTGAGAGGCGGATCGGGGTGGAGAGATCCCCAGTGCCAAGGAAGTCCGGCGCTGGAGAAAGGTAAGCGCTGAAGGGGTTTTAAACACACACACACACTCTCACGAACAGACGCATACACACTAGCTAACAGACACACACATTTACTGACAGACACACTCAGCGACATACATACATACACACTCACTGACAGACAGACACACATACACACTCACTTACAAAACATACACTCTCACTGACAAACACACACTCACTAACAGACATCAAACAGACTCACACAAACTAACACACTCAGTAACAGACACACACAGTAACACACTCACTGACACACACACACTCACTGACACACAAACTAACACACTCACTGACACTCACTAGCAGACACACACAGTAACACACACATGGACACAAAAACTAACACACACACACACACACACATTTTTCTTTAATATGTAATCCCCAGCCTCCTTACCTTTGGGAGAGCTGAGGGGATTCCATGGGGTCCAGTGGTGCAGCTGGGTGGCCGGTCACCGGGCTGGCTGGCTGTCTGTCAGGCTGGCGGGCACACGAGTGAGCACTCTCCCCTGGATGCTCTCTGCCCAGCTCCCTTGCGCGCCACTTACTGATGCCGGAGCCGGAATATGACATCATATTCCGGCTCCAGCATCAGTGCGGTGCGTGAGGGAGCTGGGCAGAGAGCGCTAAGGGGAGAGACTCCCTCGAGCGCTCCGCCAGCCCGCCCGGTGACACCAGGGCCAGCCTCGGGGGGCACTGAGGTGGCCAGCTCCTGGGCCCCCCAGGAGAAGAGGCTGGCCACATAGGCATACATATCGGGTCGCAGGGCAGCTGGGCCCCCTGCGACCCCGTTATGTATGCCACTGCCAGGTACCATGTAAAGTTTAGGTAAATTCTACTTTATAGACCAACAATCAGGACATAATACCATCATGTTGGACCCTATACCTTGAGTTAAAGTAACTAAATTTAAAAAAATAGGAAACAAAATCACTATTTAGTAGTTATGCCCCCAATAAAACCATTCATGCAATTAATTAGGCATTTTTCATTGATGGTTAATCTAAAAAACTGCTTGCAAAAGCTCCAGATCTCATGTCTGCAGCCTTTACAAACCTTTCCCTGCTTCCCCATTAGAGACTTCCTGTGGCTGCCCAATCACAGACATCACAGAATGACACTTTCTAGCAATAGAGCACTACAGCAGATACATTAGGGGTCTACAGTGTTCACTGAAATAAATGTGTTAAACTGAAAACAGCATTTTCAGCTCAGCAGTGCAGCTCAGTGAGAAGTATTTTTTCCAATTGCATGTCTCTTGAATTCAACTGAGCTAATCAACTAGGAAGTAACAGGAACAGTTGTCAGATTGACAGCCAGGGGGCATAAAAATGTTGATTTATAAAAGTGCCAATTTCTGTTGAAATCTGCACTTTTTGTAAAATGAAAAAAGAGGACTTACTCTTTACACGTGAAGTACTGGAGCAAGTACTTTAGGGCTCTGCAGAGCCATCTATGATGGTAATAGGACACTGGGCAAAGCATTTTCTTGGGCCCCCTGCACCCTGCCCCCCCACTAGCCCCAACATCCTGGCGTGCAATCACACATTTCACCCTAACGCAGTGGGGGAACTAAAGTAGAGAGGTGCAAGACATACTTACACAAAAATATACACTGACAGACATACTGATACATACAAACACAGACAAACATACTGACACACATATATTGACTGACAGATATATTGACACACACAAACATGCAGACACACACACACAGACAGACATACGGACACACACATATACTGACAGACATACTGACACATGAACACATATACTGACACACACACACACATACACACTGACAGACATGCTGACACACACACTAACAGACATACTGACACATACACACACTGACAGACATACTGACACACACAGAAACATCCACTGACTGGCATACTGACAGACACACACACACACTGGCAGACATACTGACAAAAACAGACACATAACCGGTGCAGTTGCAGGTGCCCACGCACTTAGGGCCACCCGATGGGCCCTATATCTTCAGGGGCCCGGTCAGCGATGTGGCCGTGTTATAGCGCGCCCGAACCCCTTTTAAAAAAAAAAGCAGCCGCAGCAAATGCTGCTGGGAGAAAGTGGTCACTTCCTCCCAGCTCACTCGGTGTGGGAGGAGAGCCAGCGTGGAAGCCAATGAAGAGGGAGAGCCCCCCTCCTGCAAAAAAAAGGTAAGAACAGGAGGGTGGCTGAAAAATTAGCTATGCGTGTGTGTCTGTATGCATGCATGTATGTCTGTCAGTATGTATGTATATATGTCAGTATCAATGTATGTCTGTATGAAGGGGGCAGTGACAGGAGGTAGCGGGATAGACAGTTAGTGACAGGGGTTAGGGGGGTAGAGGGGCAATGACAGAGGTTGGGGGTAGAGGGGTAGTGAAAGCGGTTAGGGGAGTAGAGGGTCAGTGGCAGGGGCTAGAGGGGGGTAGAGGGGCAGGGGGCAGTGACAGGGGTTGGGTGGGGTGCAGTGTGTGACAGGGGGTAGAAGGAGGGCGGGGGGGCAGTGACTGATGGGGGGCAGTGAGTGACAGGGGGTAATGAGGAGGTTTAAATACCTTCCCTGGTGGTCCAGTGGGTGCCCTCTCTCTTCAGTCTGCAGCTCACTCCGGAGCTGGATTTACCCGCTGGGGTCTTCCTTGATGCATTGTGGGAGTTCGTGTGCCTCTTGGGGATCCCCATCGTATTGGATTCTCTCCGGTATTAGTGGATTGCCTGTTTGAGTTTGTGGGAGCTGATCAGTGCACTTCCATGCAGCTCCGCGTTTAGCACCACCTCCATATCTTAAGCATTTTATTACCATGCATGCAGTTTTGTACATTTGATGTTTTTTCTTTGTACTTCTGTTTTGCACATTTGCACTTTGGCATTGAACATATATTAAAAAAAAAAAAAAAAACTATCCTTGTACTAAAATCATTAGTGTGCTTGGTAATTATTTGTATTCTACGACATTTATATACCTGGTGAGAGAACAGGTCTTTCTCTTATAGCACCTTATTGCTTTTCCTTTCATGTCTCACTAAATGAACCCATATCAGTTGAGTGTTGACTATAATATTTTGTATATATAGTGAGTAACATTTAAGCGTGGTTAGAAGTGTAGGATTTAAAATATTCAGCCACTAGTTACATTACTTGATGTAGTACTTGCAACGTGTGTTCACATCGCTGCGGTTTTTCCCTAATCTTTTTATCTTATGAATAAATTTTGAACAGAAGTACAAGCATGTAACTTCTAAGCATATTTGCAAAATATTGCTTTTGTAAGCAGTTTCCTATTGGTTAATGTGCCTGCAGTTTTAAAACATTTAAAAACCAAAATAAAAAAAAGATATACATTTTTTTTTAACTCTGTCATACTACCTAAGAGAGATAACAAAAAAAAATGCATCAAACAGTTTGTTGCATTGACATTTGTATAACGCTACTGTACTTTTATGACATTTAAAATGATAGTTATGATCCAGTGCAATAAAGTAGCAACTTTAACAATTCTAAAAAAGATAAGGAACTTTGATTGTTGTACTATTTTTTACAACTAGTATAGATAAGAGGCAATCCATTAATGATTTCCACTATAATTTATTAAAGTGGTTATGGTGCCAGGAGGCTGTCATGCTTATCTTAAAGGGATAGTTTAGGTATTATAACAACCTAATCGAAATGAAGCTGTTATGGTGTCAAGAGATCCCCGGGCACATTTTAGCCGGAAGCTGCCTCCGGCGCTGAACTCAGCTCAACCTCTAGCCCAGGCTTCCCCAACTCCAATCAGTGATTTCCAATTCACAAAACAGGCTTGAAAAGAAACTTACATTTTCCAAGCCAGTTTGCTGAATGGGGTATCACTGATTGGCTGAGAGCGTCAGCTGACTGCCAATCAGCGGTGCCCCTGTCCAGTGGCACTCCATACTTCCTTAATCTGAAATTTCAGAAGCCAGATGGTGCTGGAGGGGGAGCTGAGATCAGCACTGTAGGCAACTTCAGGGTTAAACCGTTCAAAAATGGTGTAACTCCTGAAGGTAAGAATCCACCTGGAGACCTCCTGGCACCATAACAACTTCATTTAGATTAAATTGAATTGTTTTGGAGCCTGGAGTGTTCCTTTAACCTCCTTTTCTGGCCTTAGGCAACAGACAACTGCAACACATCATTACACTCTCTCAACTGACATTGACATTTTGTATACCCATGTTACATTTTTGCTAGCTACTGGCTAAAAGGAACATAACAGCAATCCAACTGGACTATTACTGTGTAGGTTAAATTCAGAGAACTTAAAGGAACACTATAGGGTGAGAAACACAAACATGTATTCGTGACCCTATAGTGTAAAAACCACCATCAATCCCACCCTCCCCCAGCCACTCTGACCTCCCTGGCCTCCCTAAATATCTTACTTGTATTCAAGTCTGCAGCTGCTGGCTCTGCCCCTGTCTGCCTCAGACCTGCCCCTGTCTGCTGACATCATCCACAGTGGTGGTCTGAACCAATCACAATGCTTCCCCATAGGAAAGACAGATCGGGGCAGAGCCAGCACAAGTCAAACACAGCCTTGGCCAATCAGCATATTCTCATAGAGATGAATTGAATCAATACATCTCTATGAGGAAAGTACAGTGTCTGAATGCAGGTGGAGACACGTAATGGCAGTGCTGCTTACTCTGCAGCACAGCCCACGGAAACAGCTTTAGCAGCCAGTGGAGTTATCACTAGGCTGTAATGTAAACATTGCATTTTCTCTGAAAAGACCGTGTTTACAGCAAAAAGCTGAAGGGAATGATTCTACTCACCAGAACAAATGTTATAAGCTGTAGTGGTTCTGGTGTCCCTTTAAAATTCAAATAGCATACAATATAGTTAAAAATATAGCCAAAGTATGGATATAAAGAAGTTGGAGAATTTTACAAGATCTGTTATTTGTGCCTAAATAAAAGTTTAGAGATTAACTCTACAATTCAGTCAGTTGGATGTCAGTTGGACCCCCTCATACAAGTATCTAACAGATTGGCCAGGTTTAACAGTGAAAATGCTGAGTGAATTGTGGCTCAAGATTCAACCTCGATCTCATTTAAAAGGGACCAAAAAGAAAACCAAGAAAAACTAATAATGGCCAGTGAGTAGGAAGATTTGATTAGGACTGAGCCTGTGTGACTACAAAATAACTTGAGTTCATTTTGAGCATACAGTGTCTCCATAGATACATTTAGAGTGAACATTATTCTTAATGATATCTTATAAACCAGTAAACCACAACCATTAGGTTTTTTTTAACTTTAGTTCCAGGTGTAACCCAGAAAAAAAGCTAAAGCAGGGGTAACATACAGCATGAGTACACTGTCAATCTATTTAGCTAATCACTATTAGGTCATTTCTATTCTTCACTTTCAGTATAAGTATGAATAGATCTAAAGATATAGCAAAAATCTTTTTAATGCTTAAAGGGACACTGTAGGCACCCAAACCACTTCAGCTCATTGAGAAACTGCAATAATTACATTGCAGGGTTAGGTCCTCCTCTAATGGCTCTCTACAAGACAGCCACTAGAGTGACTTCCGGGTGCTTAGATGACTTTTGGTCGTCTAAACGACACTGGACGTCCTCAAGCTATGCATGAGGACTTCCAGCTTCACAGGAATCTCCATAGGAAGATTGCCATACCAGGCAGCAATTGACTGACTGGTTGGGAGAGCATGCAATGATTGGTTGAAAGTGTCAGCTGATGCTCTCA